GGAGGGAGGGAGGGAGGGAGAGCAGCCCTGCAGAGAAGGACTGGGGGATGCTGCTGTGTGACAAATGGGACATGAGCCGGCAACATGCACTCACAGCCCAGAAAGCCAAGTGTCTCCTGGGCTGCGTCCCCAGCAGCGTGGCCAGCAGGCCGAGGGAGGGGATGCTCCCCCTCTGCCCCGCTCTCCTCAGATCCCTGGAGCACTGGCGGCCAGCTCGGGGGTCCCCAGCACAGGGCAACGGTTCTAAACTGACCTAGGGTGGGGTTAGGCTGGACATAGGGAAGAAATGTTGTACCCTGAGGGTGGGGAGGCCCTGGCACAGGCTGCCCAGAGAAGCTGTGGCTGCCCCCTCCCTGGAAGGGTTCAAGGCCAGGTTGGACGGGGCTTTGGGCAACCTGGGCTAGTGGAAGGTGTCCCTGCCTGTGGCAAGGGTGGTAATGGATCATCTTTGAAGGTCCCTTCTAAGTCAAACCAAGTCCATGATCCTATGAGGTGTGAGGGCAGGTCTCCCCTGGATTAGTAACTACACAAAGGAGGGGAGACAAATGGTCAGGTTTTGTACCAGTGCATGTCTCAGGGTGGTCCCCAGTGACAGTGCTGGAACTGGTCTTATCGACATGTTTTAAATGCATTCAAAAAAGAGCAAGCAGTGAAGTGCCATGGCCTGTGGTACGTGATTCTTTCAGGTAGTTGAAATGAAAACCGGCTGCCAAGAGCAGGAGGGGGATGTCACGGTGCCGAGGGACAGTTCAATTCAATGTCACAAACTGCAGACCAGTGCCTGTGGGAAAAACACTAGGCACAAACGTCAGCAGACAGCAGGGGCTGTCTGTGGGCTCTGACCACCCAGGGCAGAGACCTTGGGGCGGGTATCAACACCACCAAGACAGCAACTGGGATGCAGGGGTAGCTGGAAGGGAGCCACGAGTGGCATGGCCAGGCTCTGCCGCTTCTCCCCAGTTGGAAATCGTGAGGGGAGGTGGCCATGCTCCTGGGGCAGGTGCTTCTGGGGGATATGCTCCTGGGGGAGCTAAAGGTGATGGTGCAGAACCCTCTGAGCAGGAAGCCCCCAACCCGCTGATGGCTGGGTCTGTAGTGGGAGCAATGGTGATGTTTCTCAGCTGTCCCTTCAAGCTTTGGCCATGGTGAGGACAGTACTGAGAGGTGGCTGCACCTCGGTGTGACCCAGTGCAGCCATTCTGCTGCGGTTCAGGGTTTCATAGACTCACAGAGTGGTTTGGGTTCAAAGGGATCTTTGAAGACCATCCAGTCAACCCCTCTGCAATGGGAAGAGGCATCTTTCACTAGATCAGTGTCACGTCCTACTCAGATAAGGGAGACAAGTGACTCGTCTCTCCCAATCAGGTTGCTCAAGTTTCAGGTCCTTGGGTTTGTGGGAGAAAGCCTCCAGCAGTCACTTGTTGCCAGAGGTGGGAGGCTGGCAATGGGGTCTTCCCAGGACCTGCCGTGGGTTTGGTGGCAGCACACACCACCGTCCCCTCCAACACAGTGCCATGATGTGGTGACACCCTCCTGGAGCCAGGCGAGGAGTTGGAGCTACCCACATCTGTGGTGGGGTGTCTGGTTGGGCAAGAGCCGTCCCTAACCATTCCCTGCCCCTTGCAGGCTGAAGGACCTCTTCTACCGCTCCAGCAACCTGCAGTACTTCAAGCGGCTGATTCAGATCCCGCAGCTGCCAGAGGTGAGGCCCTGTGGTCCCCAGTCCCCACGCTCCCTGTCCCTGTGGCCAGGAGCAGCCATGGGGCCAGTGGCACTGCAAGAGTGCCCAAAAAGGGTCACCTGCCACCTTGCCTGGCTTCCAAGGGCTGGTGGCAATGTGGGGCTCATGGGGCCTGAGGCTCATCCTCTCATCCCTCCCTGGGTGGGATCCATCCCTGTGGGTCCTGGCTCCAGTCCCACGGGTCCAGACACAGCCAGCTCTGCACCAGGACAGGATTTTGACCAACCGTGCCCAAAGTGTCAGTCCTCCCCCACCCATCCATGCTCCCCTCCCTCCCCAGAACCCTCCCAATTTCCTGCGCGCCTCTGCGCTGTCGGAGCACATCAGCCCCGTGGTGGTCATCCCTGCTGAGGCTTCCTCGCCCGACAGTGAGCCCATCACCGACCTGGTAGAGATGGACACGGCCTCACAGGTGAGCTGCTGCAGTGCTGCTGTTGCCCCTCAGGCTGCAGAGAGGATGCGGGTGCTGTTCAGCTCTGGGTTTATTTCTCCAAAACCATGCCATGGCAGGGGCTGAGATGGTGGGGATGGCCTCGTGTGCTGGGGAGCCTCACTGCAGGGGCCATGTGGGTGCTGGGTGTCATATGTGGGTGCTGTTAGGTCTGAGCCAGGCTGAATTCATCTCACAGTGCTTTTCTTAGTGGCTTGGTGCCCTCCAGTGATGGCTGTCTGGGGATGTTGGGTTTCCAGCATTGCCCCTCAGCTGTGCATGCTAGCATTAGGTCTTCACACCCCTCTCCACCAAGGGTTATCCCCCAGGCACCAAGCATTTTAGGAGGGCAGGGGTTGTGTGGTGACATAGCTTTGAGGGTCTTCCCCACCCCCCCCCCGGGGGTTAAGTGGGATGGCCCAGAGATGTTCAACAAGTTCAGTGCCCTGGGAGCAGCAGGGGGGATCCAACCCAGTGTCCAGGCAGCACGAGCGGGCAGCAGCCCTGCCGACAATGAGCTGGCTTGGCAATGCCGCCAGGGACTTGGAGGGGGCACGGGCTCCCAGGTGGTGGTGGGTTCACTCCAGGTCCATGCTACTCTCCCCACAGAGCCTGTTTGACAATAAGTTTGATGACATCTTCGGCAGCTCTTTCAGCAGCGACCCCTTCAACTTCAACAGCCAGAATGGGATGAACAAGGACGAGAAGTGAGCAGCCCCACGGTGCCATGGAGGGCCGCCTGCCAGGCTGCTGCCACACAGCAGCTGCGGTGGCACAGGAGACACGTCCCCTCCCGGGATGTGTCCCCATGGCACCGGCATGGCTGGGGGTGCTGAGGGTGTACCTGGTGTCTCTCCTTCCCAGGGACCGGTTAATCGAGCAGCTTTACAGGGAGATCTCAGCCCTGAAGGAGGAGCTGGAGAACTTCAAAGCCGAGGTGGGTGACAACCATCTGGGTGTCAAGTGGTGAGCACCCCTGTGCCAGTCTGGGGGCAGGATGAGAGCCGGTGGCTCACACTGGGAATGGAGCTGGTGGGATGCTGGCTCTGTGTCCCCAGCTGGGCAAGGCAGTGACTCTGCCTGTCTGTCTGTCCTGCCCTTTGGCTTCAGCATCCCTAGCACAGCAATCCCTGCCTGTACAGGGGGTTCCCAGGTGTGCCAGGGGCAGGGGGGTGGCATCCCTGCCCCGGGGGTGGGGGGCCAGGCTCACCCCAACTGGCCAGCATCCCCAGTGCTTCACCCTGCTGCATTTGGGGCTCTGTGGGATCCTGCCCACGGGGTGGCCACCAGATTGTCCCAGCGGGCATGAGACAGTGCTGGCAGCCAGTGAGTGACCCCGGGAGCTGCCCACCCACTGTCCCTGCAGAGTGCCCGGGGCATGGTGCAGCTGCGCGGTCGCAGCAGCGAGCTGGAGGCCGAGCTGGCTGAGCAGCGGCACCTGAAGCAGCAAGCGCAGGACGAGAGCGAGTTCCTGCGTGCGGAGCTGGAGGAGCTGAAGAAGCAGCGGGAGGACACCGAGAAGGCACAGAGGAGCCTGACGGAGATCGAAAGTGAGCAGGAAGAGCTGGCACTCAGCTTGGGGTGGGGGTGAGCCCCGGGGTGGGGGTCCTGGGTGCTCACCTCGGCACCCCCGCGTGCACGGCAGGGCGGGCGCAGGCCAACGAGCAGCGCTACAGCAAGCTGAAGGAGAAGTACAGCGAGCTGGTGCAGAACCACGCTGACCTACTGCGGAAGGTGGGCTCCCTGAAACCCCTGCTGGCATCCCCTTTGCCTGCCGTGCCCTCTCAGCACTGGGGGTCACTGAGCTCTCTCTCTGCCGTCACCAGAACGCGGAGGTGACCAAGCAGGTGACGGCAGCCAGGCAGGCCCAGGGGGACGTGGAGCGGGAGAAGAAGGAGCTGGAGGACTCCTTCCAGCGGGTGAGCGAGCAGGCTCAGAGGAAGGTGAGTGGGGACTGAGGGCAGGAGGACACACCAGGGATGGGTGGGGGTTCCTGCATGGGGCACCAGTGCCAGCAACCTCTCTTGCCCGCAGTCCCAGGAGCAGGCAGAGGTGCTAGACACGCTGAAGCGGGAGCTGGCAGCCAGCAGACAGGAGCTGCAGGTCCTCCAGGGCACCCTGGAGTCCAGCACACAGGTGAGAGCCCAGTGGTGGCCCCTGCCAGCCCCAACACCACTCCAGGAGGGGCAGGAGGTCTGCCTGCTGTCATGGTGCTTGAGCGAGGTGTTACCCAGCCAGGAAGCATTACCCACCGTTGGCGTGATAATCACCAAATCATCTTGGTTGGAAAAGCACTTGAAGCTCCTCCAGTCCAACCATGAACCTCACACTTGACAGTTCCCAACTCCCCCAGATCCCTCAGCGCTGGCTCAGCCCGACTCTCCAACCCCTCCAGGGATGTGGACTCCCCCCCTGCCCTGGGCAGCCCATTCCAACGCCCAACAGCCCCTTCTGCACAGAAATCCTTCCTCAGAGCCAGCCTGACCCTGCCCTGGGCAGCTTGAGGCCATTCCCTCGGGGCCTGGTGCTGGGGCCTTGGCTCCAGAGATTCATCCCCCCTCTCTGCCCCCTCCTGGCAGGGAGTTGCAGAGGGCCAGGAGGTCTCCCCTCAGCCTCCTCTTCTCCAGACTGAACCCCCCCAGTTCCCCCAGCCGCTCCCCAGCAGACCTGTGCTCCGGACCCTGCCCCAGCTCCGTTGCCCTTCTCTGGCCACGCTCGAGTCACTCAATGGCCTTTTTGGGGTGAGGGGCCCAACACTGAACCCCCTCAGCGAGGGGCGGCCTCACCAGTGCCAAGTACAGGGATAGCATGAATCAACTTCCTGTCTTCTTCCCCACATCTAGATGAGTTTAATGATCATACCAGGGGGTTTAACACTCCTGGGTGCAAGAGCATGTGGAGTGATGGCCTCCAGCAGCACGGATTGTTGAACAAAATTCCCTGTGAGAGCAGGGTCAGGCAGAGGGGCTCTGCCCACTGTAAAACCCAGGCAGGGAGCATGCCATCACATCTCAAGCCTTTGCACAGGCTTGCTGCCATTCCAGAGGGTATTTCACACCTGTGAAGCTGTGCAGGACATCAGGGGTTTCCAGGCTCATTGTAGAATGCAGAAGCTGACAGAAAAATGGAGCTGCCCCTCCCTGGGGTGGGCAGATATGCTGCAGCAGGTCAGAGTGGGACAGAGTTGGCTCCGGGGCCAGCAGCCAGCAACCTTCATCTGCTCCTCCACCAGGATGCTGACAATCAAAAGTGAATTTTCACTGGTAAAATTGAAAGGGCTCCCCAGGGAGTCTTGGTTGGCCTCAGATGAAGCTGTCAGCAGTGCAGGGGTGCTGCCAGGTGGTGGGTGATGCAGGGCTGTGACCTGCAAGGTCTGTGATGCACCAAGCAGGGATGGTCGAGGTGGTCCAAACCTGGACATTGTAGAGGTTTGTGCTGGTCTCTTCTCACAGGGAATTGGCAATAGAACAAGAGGGAACGGCTTTAAACTGCATCAGGGGAGGGTCAGACTGGACATGAGGGAAAAATGTTTCCCAGAAGGAGTGGTCAGAGAGTGGAATAGGCTGCCCAGGGAGGGGGGGGAGTCCCCATCCCTGGGGGGGTTTAAGGGCCATTTGGATGAGCTGTGGGGGATGTGGGGAAGGGGAGAACTTTGTAGAGTCGGGCTGAGGGTTGGACTCGATGATTCCAATGGGCTTTTCCAACCTGAATGATTCTGTGTGGACCATGAACAAGGCCCCAGACCAGCGGGTTTGCCCTCAGCACAGCCCCAAGCGCCGTTTCGTGCCCAAATAGGTGGGAGTGGAGCAGAGCACCCGGATCACTGGCCTGGAGCAGGAGAGGGACAGGCTGAGCCAGGCAGCAGAGCGGCACGGGGAGGAGATGGCTGCCCTGCATGCTGAGCTGCAGCACCTGCGGGACACGCTCAGCCACGAGCGGGAGAGCAGCAAGGTGGAGCTGGAGACATTGCAGACCCAGCTGAGAGACAAGGTACCCAATGGGCACCACTGATGTGGGGCACCCCAGCATCCCTCTCCCTGCCCAGCTGTGGGGGTTCTGCAGAGCTGGAGGCGGCGGCAGGGCCGTGACGCCTGCACCGGCTCGGCAGGAGAGCAGGGAGCAGGCGCTGCAGCAGCGCCTGGCCGAGGAGCAGTTTGCCCTGCTGCAGGGCACCGCGCGAGAGGCAGAGAGGATGGTGCGGGATGCCCTCAGTCGCCTGGAGGATCCCGCTCACATCGGCTGCACTGGCTCGGCAGGTGAGTCCTCCGGTGCTTGCCAAACCTGGGCCCACCTGCCCCCCACTGCCCAAAGCCCACCCTCCCTGTTGTCCCCTGGGCCATGCCAGCAGCGGAGAGCAGCTGTGCCGCACACGGGGACGCCCCATGTTTGAGTCCTGACTGCTGTCTGCCTGCAGATTACCTCCTGTCCAGGATGCTGGCAGCCTCCGAGTGCGTGGAGCGGCTGCGGGATGCTCATGGCAAATACCTTTCAAATCGCGCAGGTAAGAGCCAGCAGTCCTGGGCAGGGGCTGGGCTGGGGGAAGGGGGCAGCTCTGGCACTCGTGGGCCAGGTGGGCAGCACCCACCAGGGCTGAGGCATGTGCCTGCTCTCCCACCACAGCCGTGGGCTCCCTGCTGCCCTGCCTGGCCCTCTTCGCCCACCTCGTCAGCGACACCCTCCTGCAGGGCAGCGCTACCTCCCACGTGGCCCCCATGGAGCCCGCTGACCGTGAGTGCTGCCCAGCGGGGCTGGGGTGGGCAGGCACTAGGGCAGGCAGGGGCGATGGCAGGAGGGGACTGAGTGGGCAGGACGCTGGGGTGGGCAGGGGCCACAGCAGGCAGGGGACTGGGTGGGCAGGATGCTGAGAAAAGTAGGATGCTGAGGTGGCAGTATTCTGGGGTGGGCAGGGGCGACCCCAGCAGGGCAGGATACTGGGGAAGACAAGGGCCAGAGTGGGCAGGGGCCAGCGCGGATGGGGTGCTGGGGCAAGCAGGAGCCAGCCAGCCTCTGTGTCCCCACGTGCGGCACCCACAGCCTCTGGTGCTGCCCATGCAGGTCTGCTGGAGATGTGCAGGCAGTGCGGCAGCGAGGCTGTGAGCTACCTCAGCGCCCTGCAGGACCCAGGGTCGGTGGAAGGTGCTGACTGCAGCCTGGTGATGACCTGCCTGAGCCGCATCAGCACCATCGGGGAGGTGGGTGCCTTGAGAGGGCTGGTGGGGTGGCGTCAGGCCATGGCGGGCACCGCCGGAGGGGCTGTGCCACCCCTGGATGGTCCCTTTCATCCCACCCTGTCCCCAGGAGCTGCGGCCCAGAGGGCTGGACGTCAAGCAGGAGGAGCTGGGTGACCTGGTGGACAAGGAGATGGCGGCAACAGCAGCAGCCATTGAAACAGCGGCCGCCCGCATTGAGGTGAGGGTCGCCGCATGCCACGAGGCACCTATGGGTGCTGTGCCTGCCGGGGCCACCGGCACAAGGCCAGGATGGAGCACAGGGCTCAGCGTGGCCTCTCCCCCCTCTACCAGGAGATGTTGAGCAAGGCACGGGCTGGTGACACTGGGGTCAAACTGGAAGTGAACGAGAGGTGAGCAGTGGCCAGGGCACTGGGGAGAGCTGGGCAGGCAGGATGGGGCCCGGTGCCATGAGCAGAGCAGCTGCCCCATGGCTCTGGGGTGTCTCTGCCCCACAAGTGGGGCTCAGTGGAGTTTGTCTTGCAGGATCCTGGGCTCCTGCACGGGCCTCATGCAGGCCATCCACATCCTGGTCCTGGCCTCCAAAGACCTTCAGAAGGAGATCGTGGAGAGTGGACGGGTGAGCGAGGAGCATGGGTGCAGGCAGGAGTGCAGGCAGGGCAGGGGGCAGCAGGTGCTTGGCCAGCCGGGGGTCACCATGCGCTTGCTGGGGACGTGTTGCTCCCAGCCTTGGCCCGTTGGGACACCAACGCTGGCTGCCAGGAGCTCCTGCCCCGGCCCCAGTGTCTCACCCTGGCTGTGGCCCCTGGGGTGATGCAGAGGTCCCTGGTGTCCCCTCCCACGTAGGAGACCCCAGAGCCCCACACTCGGTGTCTCCCCAGCTCCCATACGCATCCTAAATGAAACTCTGACCTACCCCGTTCCCCCAAGGGGAGTCTGGGTCTCCCAGGCCCTGCCACTCCCCTGTCCCCAGTGCCTGACTGGGCCTTTCCTGATGGCAGGGTGCGGCATCCCCCAAGGAGTTTTACGCCAAGAATTCCCGCTGGACTGAGGGTCTTATCTCTGCCTCCAAAGCTGTGGGCTGGGGTGCCACTGTCATGGTGTAAGTGCCACCATCCCCAGAGCTGGGAGAGGACTGCAGGGTCCTGCCGTCCCCACAGGGAGGGGACGGGGATGACAGGACGATGCTCCAGCCCCTCTCTGCCCTCCTGCAGCGACGCTGCCGACCTGGTGGTGCAAGGCAAAGGGACGTTTGAGGAGCTGATGGTCTGTTCCCGGGAGATCGCAGCCAGCACTGCCCAGCTGGTCGCAGCCTCCAAGGTAGGAGCCCAGCACCTCGTGGAGGGGCTCCCAGACCTGCATCGCCCGGCAGCTCCCCCTGGTGCTGCCTGTGCTTGGCTCTGGGAGATGCTCCATCCCCAGGCAGGCAGCAGCGAGGCTGCTCCCCTGGCTGTGGTTTAGGGTGACCCTGGGGCACCACGTGCTCACCCCAAACCGTGAGGCTGGTCTTCTCACCCGGCGGGGTGTAAGCGCGTCCCTCCTCACTGCCCCGGCAGGTGAAGGCAGACAAAGACAGCGCCAACCTTTGCAAACTCCAGCAAGCCTCCCGGGGTGTCAACCAGGCCACGGCCAGTGTGGTGGCCTCCACCAAGGCTGGGAAGTCGCAAGTGGAGGAGAAAGGTAAGTGTGGGGCTGCAAGAGCGCAAACCTGCCCCGGAACCTCTGCTCTTTGCACTTAGTGTCTTTGGTTGGCTGTGACCTCTGCCTGCGGCTGCCCCTTGCTGCCTGCATGTCCCGTGGTGGCAGGCGCTGGAGCAGCGCTGGAGCTGCAAGGGCATCCAAGCTGGGGAGCGGAGCTTGAGGGGGGCTGGTGGTGTCTCTCCACAGACAGCATGGACTTCTCCAGCATGACACTCACCCAGATAAAGCGTCAAGAGATGGACTCACAGGTAGGAGGTTCCGCCATGTTTGGGAAACACACCCGCTGGTGCCTCACTTGGGCTAACGAGAGGCCACTGGGGCTGGAGGGGAGGTGGGTGGGGGTACAAAATGTAGTGAGTGGGGGCACCCTGCCTGGCTGCCTGCCCCAGGCAGCACCAGCTCATGGGGAAGGCCCAGGGTGTAAAGACAACAGAGGGGTTTGCCCAGGACCTGCATGCAGATGGTCCTTGAGCCTTCCCCAACGCTGTCTCCCTCATGACACAGCAGCCCATGGTCTCCCCCTGCCCCCGTGTAGCCGCTGGGTTGCCCCACAGCACCCACCTCTGCCTGGCATGGGGCAGGCTGGGGAATTCCCCTTCTCAGGGTGCCCACACGGCTCACTCTGCCTTCACCTGCCTGAGCTCTACCCCTCCTCAGGACCACATATCATCGGAGCACTCATGGGATGGACCTCGTTGGTCTTTGGGCTTGATACTGGGGAAAAGGGGGAGTGCCCAGCCCAGCACAGCTCCGTGCCAGCTGCAGCACCCAGGTTTTGTGCCAGCATGCGGGGTGGCCATGGCATGCATGATGTCCTTCAGGTGCGGGTGCTGGAGCTGGAAAACCAGCTGCAGAAGGAGCGGCAGAAGCTGGGGGAGCTGCGCAAGAAGCACTATGAGCTGGCAGGAGTGGCAGAGGGCTGGGAGGAGGACGGTGAGTGGATCCTGGTCCTGCTCTGGATGGAAAGCTGCTCCGGGAAGGAGTAGGGCAGGATGGGGAGCCCTGCCTGCAGTCCAGGCAGCGAGCGGGCATGGGTTTCACTCCCGCTGGAGCAAGCGGAGCCTGAGGATGGTCAGTACATATGGGCCCCTGACCTGTACAGGAGCTGTGGGACCCACATTACCCCTGGGCGAGGTGCTTGGGTGCTGCTGGGGCTCTGCCTCCCTGTGAAGCCCTGGGGTCCCAGGGGGATGGGGCAGAGGGATGCTGGGGTACCACGTTGCTCTGCACCCACTTACCCTCTCTCCCTGCTCCAGCTGCAGATTAACTCCCATGGTGGAAGCAGCCTACAGGGGACACCCCCGCGGTGGGCTGAGACATTGCTTGATGCAGCCTTTTGGGAAGATCCACAACAAACTGGTGCAGAAGCCACCCTGAAGCACACGTCCTCCGCGTCCCCCCGCCAAGAGCTGCCTCCAGCGCCAGAGCACCAAGAGCTGCCTGGCGAGACCCCGGGGCTGGGAGCGAGGGCTCACCAGTCTGACGCCAGCCACAAACCGCACATGTATTTATTAGCTGCTTGGGGTTGAGGGGTTCTCCGGGGGGGGTGGTGTCTTTAACCCTTTAGTTTTGTTTTTGCACAGATTTTCAGAACTCTTGGAGCCAGCTCTGGCTGAGCAGTCAGGTTTCTTCTGCCTCTCGCTGCTTCTCCAGCCTTAACCCAGTCCCTGGCTCGGCACAAACATCCCCCCGCTCCACAAAGGAGCCTGCCACGGTGCCAAGGGCCCCGGGGGTGCCGCCGGGTCGGGAGACAGCTTTTAGGGTGCTGCTGGGCTTGGTGCTAGGTGTGCTCCCCACTCCGGTGGGGGCAGAGTGCCTTTGGCCACTGCAGGGTGGGGGGAGCGTTCCTGTGGGACAACCTTGGGTTCTGAGGCCAGGGTGCTGGCAGCAGCAACACTGGGAGCAGAGGGTGGTGAGGAGGGAGTGGGGCAGGCAGTGGGACAGATGCTGCTGTGAGCTTCTGCCCCCCATCCTAAGTCCTCAAAATGCCTGCTCCACAGCTGCCCCCCCCTCCCTCTAAGAGCTGGGCTGCCCTGCCCTAACAGATCACTGTGTTCATGCCAGCAATAAACCCTCCGCAAGGTGCTGAGCACGGGTTTGGGCAACTGTGGTGCCACCGCGCAAGCCATCAGCTCCTGGGGATGGGGGTTGGTTCTAGGGCAGCAGCACAGAAGAGGGTTTAGGGGGAAGCCAGGGTGCCTCAAAAGCAGAGCACCCCAAAGCCAGAGCAAGCAGCTCCCTGGGCTGGTGTTACCCCTGTGTCCTCACCACCCTCCTTGGTGCGTGGGGGGAGCGGTGCCAGCATTGCCATGGGCAGGAACAGCTCTGGGGCTGGCAGTGGCCAGGGAACCTTTGTGCCTTGGAGCGGGGGGCTCGGAGGGCAGGGGGTGTCTGCCAGCTCCAGGCCCCCCAGCTCGTCTCACTGCGGCGGGGATGGTGGCATCAGACCGCGCGACGCTGTCTCCGTCCCTCACAGCCGCCCCCATGGTCCTGCTGGTGCCCCTTGCAGGGCCAGGGTGTCTTTCCCGGCCTGGCAGCCTTGCTGCCTGCACCCTGCCTTCAGGCAGCTGCCTCTTCCTGGGGGGAGACAGCCAGACCAGCTCCCTCAGGGTGCTGGGTGTGCAGAATTTGGTCTTTCTCCCTGTAAGAAGTGGTTGCATTGCCCAGGGTGGTGGGCTGTCACCATGTGCTTTCTCAGTGACATCTGCCAGACCTTGGCTGGCACTGGGAGCAGTGGGACCCACCTGCATCCCCCTGCCCGTCACCATGGCCTCAGGGCTGCCCCCCGACTACGCGCAGGAGAGCGCAACTGTCCCCCGTGCAGGGACCCGGTGTCCCCGTGTCCCCCAACCAGCCCTGCTGCCAACACACCCAGCCTGCTGGGGACCTCCCAAGGCTCCCCATGGGGGCTCCTGCAGCCTCCCCACGCCCCACCACGGCCATACCCCGACCTGCGCCAGCTCCCCTCTGGGTGCATTACCAACCATCCCGTTCTTGCAGGATGGGGAGGAGCCCCAAAACCCGCCCTGCTCTTTTTGGGGGGGGTGGGGGGGTCTTGCCTGCGTGGGGTACCCCCCAACTACCTCAGGCCTCCAGGCCTAGTTGGGGCTGGGGGGCTGCAAGGAGGTCACGGTGGTGGCAGGGGCTTGGGGGCAGTGGCACCACTCTTGGCCGAAACCACTTCTTTTTGTATCTCGGCTGGGCACTGGCGGGGGGGAGTGTCCCCTGCGTGCTCCCTGGCTCTGGTGGCTGGTGTCGGGGACTGTGGGGGTGCCCTTCCACTGCAGGTTGGGTTGATTTTTTTTTTTCATTGTATAATAATTACTACGTCGTGTGTTTTTGATTTTTCAATAAAGCCTTCAGCCCAGCCCTCCTGGCTCCAGGGTGGTCAGCAGCTGGGCTGTGTCACCATGGGGGTCCCACAGCTCTGCCCTGATGGGTGTGTTCAGCCCTCTGTGAAAAAGTTTGGGGAGATGCTGTGAAGGTAACCTGGGTGATGTCCTGGTGATAATGCCCCTCTCCTGGCTCTGTCCCCAGGGTCACCCTGCATGTCACCTCTGTCCTTCCTGGTCCCTGCTCACCCCCGGAGGACCAGGGGCAGCTTTGGCCTCCTCGTTGCCCCATTCCCTTCGGGGCGGGGGGTGTGACACTGCAGCAGGAGCCCTGTGCAGACCACCCTGTCCTCCCTGGCTGTGCTGCAGGGTCACCATGGCAAGGGGGTGCTGTTGCTGGGTGGCCCGTGGGGGCCATGACTGGGGAACGGTGCCACGCTCCCAAGTGTCCTGCCCTGGGCAGCACCCAGCGCCCCACCCCTGGCCCTGCCAGGGCTACCCCCTGCATTTCAGAAAGCCCCGTGACAGCCTGTCCCTGCAGCCATGGTCTGTTTCTACATCCATGTTCTGCATGGTCTGTGCCATTGTCCTGCCCTGTGACCCCCGGCTCTGCAGGACACAGCGGGGCTGCCGGCAGCAGGGCAGGCAGCACCCCCCTGGGCACCCAGCAACGCAGCCAGCCTGAACGGCCTCCCCACGGTCCCCAGGACCACGGGGAACCATCTCCAGGCCTGTGCCGCAGAGCAGGCTGGTGGTGGTGGCATCCTCCAGCCAGGACAGGGGGACAGGGAGCTGCCCCTGTGCCTGGGGGTGGCCGGGGACGGGCAGGTGCTGGGCTGGGGGCCGAGGGCCCGTGGGTACCTGCAGCATGCGGTCACGCGTGGTCAGGGATGGGGGCCTGTGGGGACAGGCAGGTGACCGTAGGGGCTGGGACAATGGGGACACTGAGGGTGTAACGGGGTGGGAGGTGCAGGGACAGGATGGGGGTGGGGACATCGGGGTCGGGAGGGACACGGGAACTGGGGCGCCAAGGAGGAGCCTGGGTTTGGAGCGGGGATGGGGAAACGGGAATCGGAGTGGGGGAGCCACGGCGGGCAGCGGGCACAGGAGGAGCGGGCCGGGATGGGGGACACCCGAGGGGCC